CTCTCGCTTTCCCTTCCTCCCCCGTTTATTCTCCCCGTTTTTTGTCTTCTAAAAAAACAAACTGTTCTTTCTTTTTTTTTATTTATCGCCATTGAAAATCTCGGTTGCGCTTAAAATCGAATTCGCGAATTTTCCGCAGGGCAGATAAGGAAGCCAACATCAGTTTGAACCGTAAGTTTTACTGCTACATTCGTTCATATCAAGGAGCGCGCACTTTTTCACGGTACATGACATACAATTTCATATTAGTGACACCAAACCGCTAAACTTGCTTCTCGTTGCCACGATCTTCACCAGAATATTTATCTGGGAAAAGATTCCGCTTCTTCATTCCACATCGCTTTCCACTTTGTGAAATCACATGATTACATCGTAATAATTGTTACTAAAGAACGAAATCGTATTTATCATTTCTTTCTCTTTTTTTTTACTTTATTAGTTGCAGATGTTAATTAGCAAATTTATGCTACGAATCACGTTCTGTACAGTTTAAAAAATAGCGGTATGAAAACATCATGTAGTGTCTATATAATTCTCACCATGTTAGTGTTAAATTAATACCAACATAGTGTGGATTTAACACCATTGATTTTAAATTTACACATCCATGGTGTCCACATGAATTAAATCTATACCATGATGGTATTGATATAAACACCAGAGGTTTAAATCCACACCAAGGATGCTGGTGTTAATTCAACACCAACGTGGTGAGAATTATGTAGACACCGTATGAGTGTTAAATCCACACCGACATTTTTTAGAATGTAGAGATTAGTATGGATTTGGATGATTTACCGCATATCTTTGTTCTATTTAAGTTTATTAGAAATGAAGATTTCATGTTTTCACTTTTTCGAAAGAATAAAGATAAAATCAAGTAAGTGGAATATCTTTTTATCCTTTGGTACGAAGGCGTTAATTTTTTTAACATTTTCTCAAATTTTTTTCTTTGTGATAAAGTGCTTTACGATGCACTTAATAAGGGAATACTTTAATTCGCGACACAATTCTTCTCGATAATGGAAGAAACGCATATAAAATTTCGTTAAACGGAAACGGCTAATCCCTTATTATTTCTAACAGAGACCAAAAATAACAGTTATCTTAAAAATTTGATCTAAAAACATCATAAAAAGTTGATATTTATTTACAAGGAAGACAATCATCATCGTATTTTAAAGAAATTGCTCGAAAAATGTAATTTTTATAAGATATCAATTTTTATGTATTCTGGTTGCGAATAACCATTATTGGTGATAGAAATTGTTTTCGGTTGTGAATGACCATTATAGATGATAGAAATTGTTTTTAGTAAAGAATAACCATTTGACCGATGACCAGAATGTTATATTGGTTACCATTACTGATAACTAGAAATTTATTTTAGTTATGCGTTATTCAGTTATATTTCTCATTTTTCAATATCTTTTTGTACTATTTCGGTAATTCGATAAGTTTCTGGAGAACAAATGAGAAATACAGAGAATCATACAAAAAATGTAAACGTGTTAAACATACAATAGTACCTTTTATTTTATTGTTTCTTCATAAAGAATGATATCTTTTATTAATTAATTTTTCATTCGTATACTGAGGAAAAAGTGATGTTGTATCAACGGTATTATTTTAATTGAAAATGATTTTGTTAATTCATACACACACAATAACACCATTAATGAAACGAATACTTACGCTCTTGTTTTAATAAAATTTTATTTGTACTAAATAAAATTTCATTATTACTGTTGTTAAATCAACAAGATTATTTTCAATTTAAATAATGTATTTTTAAATAATATTATTGAAACAACTTTTTTTTCAGTGATAATAAATTAATGACGGCCAATAATAACCAAAAAACATGTCGCTGTCGATAACCAACAAGTTTCTATAGTTTAAAGATCTTGGGTAACCAAAAAAGAATTCTGATCATCAATAATGGTTATTCATAACCAAGATCATTTAAAGAAAAATATAATAGTTATGTTATAATTTTTTTTTATTTTGTGGTAATACAAAACAGTTAGGATCTCTAGTTTCTAATCTATAAATTGTTTTTGAGTCATGATGGAAGTTCTTGAATGCGAAATAACGCAGCCGACGGTTTCACTTCAAGAAAATGCTGAGGTTTCTATGTTAAATTTGATGCTAGATGATACCAATAGTGGTAAATCTATACACGACTAGAATTAAAACTTTATTAGAAAAAGAAAAAAGAGTGATCGTTACGGGCATCGAATGACTTGACGTTATCGTCAACTCTTATCGAAATCTACATTTTGTCGGCTTGAAATATAAACCAAAGAAAAAAACGTTAACTCTGCATTGCAACGTTTCATCGTTGTGAGAAAACTTAGTGATCGGTATGATTTTATTACACTTGAACGACGGTGCATCCACAACAGAATATCGCGGAGATGGTTTACCGTATTCGTATGGTTAACCCTTGATTATCTTGACACGACGCGATGTAGCGAAACTCTATTGCCAGAATTTCTCCATTTTAGTAAAATCTTTTGTGACTCGTACATGTATATCTATGTGCACTGATTCTTTAATATCATATTTATACGAAAATACAAATCAAGAATATTCTTGAAATTAATATTGCAGCGGTATACGATTGTAAATAATTTCATCTCTAATTCTATTAAAATAATGCCAAGTGAACTAAACATGACATACATACACGTTGCTTGTAATCATAATTAATGTGGAATATGGCCTTTATAGTTGCTATTATTAACTTAGAAGAATTGCAATATAATTTACTGTTATTTCCTATTATTTTCGAGACTGAACAGATCGAATTAACGTTAAAACTGAAACTGATACCGTGTCCGTTACAATAGCGGCTTTGCCGAATGGAATCGCGTTTCCTATCATCTTCCTCATATTGTCAATACCGTGAATTTATGCGAAAGCATTCTCATTGTGATGTATGCGCTTACATTATGTGCGAGTAACGAGCCGAAGAAAGCTTTCGCAGGCAACGAGTTTGCGATATAGATTAACGCTTTACAAGATCGATCCTCCAAAACTCGGCATTGCGGCGAAAAACGTATAATCTACTCCCATGCCTCGCCTCACGTTTGTTATCTTGCCAGTGAATTTCTCCGTCTTACGTATTCGAGTCGGAAAATAGAAACTGTTTTGAGTTGAAACATTCGCGACAACGTGCAATGGGATCGTTTTCCTTCCGTCGTAAAGTGCAAAATTTTACCTGGCTCGAGAACTTTCTCGGCGATTACCTTCAATCGTGCGGCCAAAATAACGTCGGTTAATTAGAACGCGAGTTCAAATTAAAGGATATAATTAGGAATAATACGCTTCGTTGCCGCATACGAGATCGAAGTGTATTTCCGAATGTTACACGCGATGTTACACGCAAGTATAGAGAGAAAAGTATCGATCGCTTCGAATGACCTCAATCTTCAAACTTACCGCGTCAGAAAGCTCTTTCTTTAGGCTACATAAAGAATTTTTAACACTGTATCAGCGCACAATCTTAATCGTCAAAAGAGTACGATGCAAAAGCATTAGCGCGAGAAATTACACTATCCGACAAAATTTTTTTCACATTTTTTTCCTGCGGTAATCACGACTAGTATTTTTTAATACCTAAATTCAAGGTCGCTGAATCCAAATCCATCAGCAAAAGATCACGTCAGGTTTTTTAGATAAATCGAGTAATATGAGCCAAAAACAGCGTTTTTTGCCATATTTATCATTTTTTTTGGTCAAACGAAATTTTATTTTTCAATTAATGCTACATTAAAGAGCTAATCTTCACCTTTGAAAGGAATTTTCATTTTTTATTATGCAATTTTTTTCATCAAGGTATGAACGTTTTCTAAAATGTAAAATGGCGGATCCAAATTGGCAAATTGAATTAAAAAATTTCGATATTCAAAATGGCGGATCCATCATAGAGGACCAAAATACGAAAAGTAACATTTGGTCCGCCATATTGGATTCGCCATTTTGAATATCAAAGATATCTTTTTCATACACATTTATCTACTTTCCAATTTTAATCTATCATTTTGGATGAAACTTTGTTTGGTCACAAGAAATGGTAAATATGGCAAAAAATGCTGTTTCTGACCCATATTACCCAATTTATCTCAAAAACCTGACGTGATGGATATTTTGGTGGATTTGCATTCAACGATCTTGAATTTACTAAGAAACATTGGCCCTGCTCGCCGCAGATTTTCTAGCTTGTTGGACTGTGTTATCAATGCTGTATAAGCACAAGCAAAATCGCTGAAGAGAAAATGTAACATTGTGTAACATTGTGATAAATAGCAGAAATAAAATTATCATAAACTAACAGTTGGTTAACAATTTTGATTGTTAACTCTAAAGAATACGGGATTTAATACCACACATGGATGTTAAATCTATTTCTCACTATGCCAGTGTTGATAAACCAACATAGTACAGATTTAATAAATTTTAAATTATGATGTTAATTTCATACTATTATATTGGTGTTTATCTTAATATTAATACAATGAGAATTATATAAACATTGCATAGTGTTACATTTACATCCATATTTTTTTAGAATATACACGGAAACGATTATTTTTTTATATAAGATATATTTTTGTGTTCGGAAATATAAATTCCATTATATAAATTATTATAGACTTATTTTGTAATGTATATACATTTTATCATTTGACATTTTAAATTTAATTGCGAAGAATTTCTTTCGAGCTAAATTAAAACATCTTTTATGCCTGACATGCAAGTAACTTGCGCAGTAACACGCGAAACCCTTATAAATACAAAGATTATTTTCATGAATGCAATCACGAACCACACGCAGAAGTTGCTGGCGGCTATAAGTCGAATTTTCCGGAAACACCTCGACGAGAAATGGTGTGGAAACGCGAGTGTAAGATATGGATTCGAGCGGTTAGAAGCCATTTTACCGGGGCTGATTACACAGTACAGAGAATTGCAAATTAAATCCGATCCGAGAGAGTCTGTGTGATTTAACACCACGTCCTTCGTACCACTAAGTATCATCTAAATGCATGAGCCTGTTAATTGCCTCGGCGTGATAGTTATCTGCAGGGAAGTCATTATCGGCGCGAATTCACACGACAAAATTTTCGATGATCAGCAGTAATATTTCTCAGCAAACATCTGAATACAATTAAAAAATTTTTGTTAAAAACACATTTCATGCGTCTCAAACAGTCCTTTTAAATTTTTAATTTAATGTAAGATAAATATATTAATAATAATATGTTAAGAAATAACATTATGTAAAATTAAATTAACACAAAAAATGTAATACTTTGACACAATTTGGGAACAAATTGTGGAAACACATTTCTTCAGTAAAATTAACATTTATAATATGTTAAATTAACGAGTATATTTATTTTTTACTTATTTATCTTAGAATTTGCGTTTTATAACTACATTAACTTACTATACTCATAAATTGTGTTATTTTAACACTAAGAAAATAACATTATATTAAATTAACATTCTGATATATTAAACATTCAACACAAAAATTTTAACAAAGATCGATTTTAACACAAATATCTACACAATGTTTTTTACTGCACACAAGATGTGCGAGAATTTAACTTTAATATATGATTGTATCGTAAAAGTACTCTTCGTGATACACCTTGATCTACTTACAAGAAAACGACAGCTACAAGTGATCGATTATAACCGCACCTCAGGCACATAGAAACGTATATCTGCCCTCTGAATTCCATGAGTTCCGCATTTTTGAACAAACCAAAAGATAACTGATACTACGGATTACTGTAAAACTAACACATAAAAATTAAGTAGTTTATACAGCTCATGGATGCATGTTTCTCTATTTCTATCCGGCTTTCTATTTTAGATAAATATGAACAAGGGCGAATTATCAAAGCATAGCGAAACGGAAAACCCTTTTTTAACGTGTTCAGTGGAACATATCGATCGACAAGTGTCTTGTGTCGAATAAAACTTATTCGCCTTTTGCACATCTTTCCAAGATTTATCGAATATTCTATTCGATCGATTAGTTTTATATCGACTCTACAAAAAATTTTACTGTATCATAAAATTTGTCAACTATATTACTTATAATCTTTGTGCAAAATATTTCGGAGTATTGATATTTTTTTTATTCTCTGTGGCACAATGGTTTTCTGTCCATCGACATAAATTCATCGTCGTAAAAAGAACGTTTTTTTCTCGCTACGGAGATTAATGTCCACCTCGAGTAGAGACCTACGCGAGCTCGATTACACTCCGGGGAATAAAACACAACTAATTGAATGCGGTCGATCTGCATTGTGCTCCGCATAATTGCGTAATTCAGGAGTATCTGCGAAACAGAATTTCCAATTAGTTTGAATCGTTGTATTATTCTTACTTACGCGAGTAGACTGGTACCGTTATCGAGTACTGCTTTTATAAGTCGTACAGCACTTCGCTAAAACTTATGAACGCAATCACTAAGCAACGAACAGATAGCTTATGAAGAGATTCTAAAGTGAAGATTGATGGGGTCACTTGTTTTACTGATTCAATAGGAATCACATACATATGATTTAGATGTCATTGACACATTACTATTATATCATTATACATATTACTAAATCATTATACTGCACGCTTATATACACAAATTTTCTAAGGCATTAATCTTTCATATATTTGATATCTAAGTCTCACGCAGGGAAAAGATTAGCCAACGCAGCTAAAATAATATAGCCGTGATAGTTAAAATATGTCCTTGTGATAAGAACAATTAATGTCGTTACTGCCAAAGCTCAATTTGTTAGCTACTTAAATTTAAGTGCTACAGAAACTACGAAAAATATTTGCTGCTAAAGTAAAATGATGTTTCGTTAAATATATTAAGCTAATTTCTTTTAACAATAGAAACTAATAATATTTGTAGCAAGATTGAGAATCTTAGCTGACATTGTATATGTTTCGCTATTAGTGCTAAGTGATTTTAGCCACTTCAGCCATCAAATTTGATATAGTTTTATATTAGCTACTGCGTTTAAAAATATATTGATACACGAAAAAAAATTAACAATATTTGCTAACAGCAATTTAATCGAAAGTCTTGTTCATTCGATAACAATATTACTCTGAAATAAATAACTTTTTGAACAAGAATATTGCACGATGGCGTATTTGTTTCATTAATATTGTAAATTAATAAGATTATTTTCAACTAGGTGCTGTCGGTTAATCTTGTTAATCCAACATTATTTTTCTTAAATAAGAATGTTATTGAATCGTACATGAGAAAATATAACCAATAGAAAATAGGGCTCATAACGGTCGAAGCTAGATCTTTGGTGCTTAAATAATTCGGTGTGAATTTACATACTGTATATGTATGTAGTCCTTCAAATCGCGCGCCGAAATAATTTTTCAATCATTCAACGTTAATAAGATGCTTATGAGCATCGAATTGTTAACCCTCAAATAGATGTCTCGTTTTAGAATTTTAATTTACATGTCTGGTCATCCACGGCGTTTTTTACTAGCTCTATAATTATCACAAATCTTAATGGAAAATATTTTTTTTTTAATAAAATATGCCAGAATATATAGAATTGAGATATTAAAACATAGAAAGATTTTAATAATAATTGAAAAAGTTATGCCAAAAAATATTAAAGAATAATTTGTGAAAAGAATACAATACACGCACACACACATACACACACAGCCAAATGATGATTCAACATTAATAAGAATAATCGAACGATCTGCCGATATCTAAATATGTCCATGAGTGTGTTTCTACACATAATTCGACTCTCGAGGTTTATTAAAACTTGTGATTGATCCATTTACAATGCTAATTAATGTTTACCCGTCCGACTTTATTCGTCTCGATGACGGTGGCTTGCCTCACCTCTATTTACCTCCACCTGTCCCCGCCTCCATCCGTACCCGCGAATCACCATGAATAATTGAAATTAATTGCGCTTCGCCCCGTCTATTCTTTCATTTGCGAGCGTACCCATTGTTCGGCACAAAAGGGTTGATTAATGTTTTCTATCGTTGAAATAATGCTCAACGAAAACATAAACACCTTTTGTCTTCACGTCTGCCTAGCTGCCCCCTCCCCCCCCCCACTTAATCAAATCTTAATAAAAAAATAATATAATAATGCGCTATTTATGACGTTCTCTTTTTTTTTTTATTTCTTAAAAGTGCACCCTGCACCTTTGCTTACATCTCGTAATTGCGTAATTTCAATGCTTTGTGTCGCATAAAGTATACATGCGATTGAGAAAGTTATTAATGTTCGTCATTTAACCCTCCAATGCACATTGAACTTATATCAGCTTTTTCTCATTTCAATGCGAGACCGAACTCGCATGAGCCATGCAGTAATCCGATTGTTCTTTTAGCAATAAAAGAAATACTAATTCATCGCGCGTTCACATACGATTTTCGCGTAATTATATGTAATTATATGATTAGTACCAGCCTGTACGAAGTTAGCCCCCCACTTTTTGAATTAATTTATTTTAAGTATGAAAAAAATATACCTACATAATGCATTAAATCAAAATAATTTTATTACAATTTCAATCGGATTAAAATCCATGCTAATCTCCATAAATTTAACAATTTTTGAAGAAAATGATCAAATTAACAACTATATTTCCGCTTTTTAATGCCACATTAGTACTCGCCGTAATTATACGCTCGTTTCTCAATACTTCCGAATGTTAGTCCAACTACTCGGCCGCAATTTCGTGAAGTAACGAGTAGTCGCATTTCCGCAACGAAATTTAATATCTACGCATCTAGAAATAGTGTATCGCTTAACGCGATCTTTTATCATTCACCGCACACCCGCATTCGCTGTCGTCGATGCACCCCAAGTACACGTAATATGTTTCGACTTTCGACTGAATCAATAATGAAATCTTCCAAAGAGATGCGGGAATCGACACCGATGCGACAGCAGTGAGCGGGGCAATGCGCTGTTAAGAACGACCGTAAAGCTACGAAAGGGCATCGAGAAAAAGAAAAAGAGAGAGAAATTATGCCGGACAAAAATCTCGTCTGCCGGAATGGACAACGCGAAAACAAAGATTTTCTTGCCGGCGAAATATCATCCATCGGCATGTCATTACGGCCCAGCGGGAGCGCATCCTCCGGTGAGTAACTACTCTACTTACTGAGGACGAATGTTTGATGCAAATCTCGAAAGCCAGCATAAACCATTTGATAGCGCGTTGCATAATTTGCATCGACGTATGTGCTATAATAAATACGTCAGATCTGCGCATATACCGAAAACATAGCGAATTAACCATCTGATTTTGGAATTATCGTATACTTCAATATATTAGATCAAACATTTTTTTATTGATTCTTCACCCTCACTCGCGATTAACTAACAATTCTGAAATAATTGTAATTTGCAAAAAAAAGTTTATAAAAAAAAGAGAGCTTAGTTGGCATTTTTCTTTTTTTTAAAAAATATTTTTGCAGATTAATCATTGATGAAGGATAAATAAAAGTTGACAAATAAAACATTTATTTGTTATAAAACAGGATATTTATTTATACAGGTGGAAAATAAAGTATTTAGTATGATAGAAAAATATTCAAATAAGAAAAATATTCATTTTAAGCATAGACATTTTTGTGAAGTTTTATTCTGCGAATATAAATTTTTTCAAACTATCAAATATGACCTTTTTAAATTAAAATTCATATAGAAAATTGATATATCTATTGCGTTATACAATCGATTTCAATTCTTGCAGCTGCTCTAATAGCTTTCTTACGACGTGTCCATTAGTAATAACTTCTCTGCCATGTTTGCGATCCGCAGCGACACATTTTGTTAGTTCGTATCTCGCATCTATACATTCTTGAGAGATAGACAGGGGAAAAGATTCGGCCGTAGTCAAACCCGTACGAAGTTGATTGAACAGATTCAGGACGACACATTCTTTCATGAAAACTTCAGAATCGGCTATCTTAACGTCGTCTGTGGCGCAGAGCCACAATATATTATCCAGCCAGTTTTCGTCCTCACGTTGATCGGTTTTGTAACTTATGCCCAGATCTTTCAGCCACAACGTCAACTACAATATGAAATTTAGATTTGAAGCTATTTGATTTGAAGTTTAGATTTGAAAAACTATTGAATATTTCCACAAGATCGCGTTCCTTTCATGTTATAGTGAATCTGTCATCGATAACGTGAGCGCGCGTCAGAACGGAATACCAGCATCCGGTTATAAATATCGAGAACAACGCGGAAGAGAATGAAACATAAAAATCTCCACGCATTTTGCATCCAATGTCATGTTACACAGATAGTCTCGATTCCAAATTAAATTGTTAATTTTGTAATTTATATGCCCAGATCTCGCAACCACAACGTCCACTACAATGTGAAAAAATTAGATTTGAAATTATTTGAACTATTTGATTTAAATTTTAGATTTGAAACTATTTCCGAAATATCATTCCTTTCATGTTGAGCTTGAAGCTTGATCCTTGTCGCGGTCGCGCTTTCCATTGTAAAACTCGTTTATACGACAGTGTTCTCTCAGTTAATCAGACGAAATATGAAATATGCACTCACCTTGCCACGACACTGGAAAGTGAGGGGATTTCCAGAGAAGCGGAGTTTCTCGAGGCTGGCCATTGGTACAAGCTGTGTCGGTTCCAGACACGTCAAACGGTTCTCCTTCACGTCGAACCATTTGAGACCTCGCAATTTCTCGAAGACTGTAGGCTCGATCGATGTGATAACATTGTATGATAGGTCCAATTGCTGTAGAGATGTCAGATCGACGAACCACTGATCTTTTATCGATGTGATATAATTGTGCGATAGGCTAAGCTTCTTCAATTTCCTCAAGCTGTCGAATGCGTAACTAGAAATTTCCCTAATGCCACAGTCATGCATATTCAGAGAAACTAGGTTCGTACTGTAATTTATGAACGATCGATCGAGAATATTTTCTATCCGCGATTGGAAAATCATAATGTCGTCCACAATCGGCCCGCCAGAAAGTAGAGCAGTGTCTAACGTCACGTTGGAGCATTTTAGACGCTCGCCAAATCCTAGGCATAATTAATCCTTCATTACTCGCGTGGGATGTATTAAATACACGAATGCTATCTATACACACATTAATATATTTAGCTCAAATTATTTCACAATTAAAAAATTTTTTCCATTTATCTTTATTTAAAAAAAATATATAAAATATTATCAATCTTTATTTAATTTTAAATTTTAAGAGAACATGAAAATTAAAATATAATGTTAGGGTATCAGAAACACTCTACACGTGTAATTATATGTTAAAAAACCAAATAATGTAGAGTTAAATAAAACTGACAATTTATGAAAAATTTGCGGCTGTAGCGACACAAAGATGATGAGATCGGATAACCGATGACAATTATTAAATATTTTTTATCGTCTTGCATCTGGAGACACGGTAGTGTCTCGGCTTTATTTTTTTACACTGTACTGCTGTTTGTGCAATTCACAATTTATCTAAGAATAAAACTACCTTCCACTGTAGGTAACTGAAGCGCGCGCGAGTAGCTATGTAAACTAGAGAATAAGAAAAAGAGATTCTTTGAAGAATGGAAGAGGGAAAATAGAGTGCTTTACCATCCTCGTATTTACTGGTGATGCACGCCGTGATTACAGCATCTATGAAGACAAAAACGCAGACAAGTATGAGAAGCAAGACGCGGCACATCTTGAAATGCATTTTGCTCATATGTGATTGTACGACTGACTGTTCATTGGGAACAGTTACAGAATAAGTGAACAATTCCTCCATACCGAATTATCACAGCCGAATTATCATCCTTCCGTTCTCTATAAGTGATATCACGCTATCGGTGAAACAATTATTACGCAAATATCTCGGATGCAGTTCATGTGTTCCGCTGATTGTAAAAATATTCTTTAATTGATAATGGTTGTTGTCTACGTTTCAGTCGGGCAACATAAAAAAATCAATCTTATTTCAGAAAACGTATTTATAATTTATGCATTAAATCCTACTTATTTACATTCTATAATGCTGAAAAGTGCTGATAAAAACTGTATGCATATTACACGTATCTTGTGATAAAAATATTTTTTTATCTGTTTTTCTTTTGAAGAAAAAAATGCGAATTCAAGAAAGTGCCTCAAAATCTTAATTTCTCGTTACTGTCATGTTTTTTCGTCTGAGGCTAATCAACCCGTTTATTGTGTATTGCTAAACATACGTTGTTTTCTTTTTGTGATAGGCATTTCGACTCTCGCGAGCTGTGGCGAGGTGGATGCGCTGCCCGAGCTACCGGCCCAAGATGAGGAACGTCTGCAGCGCGCTGCGCGTCTACTGCAGCAGAGATTGGTGCTACGTCAATGGCTGATGGACCATGGCCTACATAATTATTATCAAAAGTAAAAAAAGAAAAAGCATAAATATAAAGAGCCCAATAATCGTCGATGCATTGAACGATTCGACTCTTTGCAATCTTTGCATATTTAATTGCATATCATTACAATTACGTAGGTGATTCAAATATGAACGAGATTTTTTGTGTGAGTACAAATCAACGTTGATAGACGTATTTTTTATTTACATTGAGTGAGGACTGTCTGCTGCTCATAAGCAGTGTTCTAACTCATACAATACATGGGAGAGGGGACTTTCAGACGTCCGATTTATATCCTTAAATGTCTCATTGTCCCCGTATTTCGGACGTCCTCGGAATTTCCAAAAGTTTAGACGTTATATAACGGGACGTCCAAAACACGATCTTCAGACATCCCGAGAACGAAATACAGGAACATAAATAAGATATTTAAAGACATAAATCGGACGTTCAAAGGACAGTCACGTGTTTCATGGGGACGTCCACAGCCCAGTAATATATTAGGTCAAAAAAGGTGATCACTGCGAAAAAATCCTCACTTAGCTAAATTTTTGCACACACCTATTATTATACTTATTTAGAATTATTTAGAATTATAAATAACGTGCAAAAAGTCCTCATCGACATCGTGTCTGAGTTATTCAAGGTCAAAGATCAGGCAAATCAATTTTTCGCGAATATCTCGCTTCCTATTGATCGGTCGTCAATTATGGTTATTATGAAAATTGTAGATTGAACAATTTTCTATAAAAAAAGTCCTATACTTTTTTCACGTGCGAACAACCGTTTTGTTGTAATGTATACTACAGATTGTCAGTACAGTGAATATCAGAACTAATCTCTGTAGTCGTTGCGACAATGAGTGCCGTTGCGCATTTACACTTTCGATAGCGACTTTTCTCTGAACTGTGGACGCAGTTTATGCAAAATTTCGATGACTGTAACATTTACGTTTACAAAAGATTTAATCAACCCATGATCAACCCAAAACAGATGAACTTGAAGAATGTTGCGCAACGGCACTCGGTACTGTTTGTTCGGACATCGTAACGACTACAGAAATAACTATTGTAAGACTATAACTATTTAGGGCGGAGAAAAAACGCCCCCACCTGTCACTCGATGTAATAAATACATCTACCAATATTGATTTGTATTTACACAAAAAAAGTCTTTATATTTAAACTACCCTCGTACATAATTAGAAATAATTAAATCGATCGATTACTGTTATCGCATTTAAGGAGATCTGTTAGTAGATAATTATCTTTTCTTTCCCACTTAATCTTTTTCTTCGAGAAAACCATTCATGAGCACTTACTATTTAGAATATTGTTCAAAATAAAGAAATGTTAAAAAGAAGGTATACTTTGCCAGGTTGATGCAAATGGAAGTTATGTCCCTGGAGGATGTATACTGGGTGGAGGACAATGCAGCACGGACAGCTCTTGGAAAGGATTTACCACGGTGGACTCAAGCTAGGCAGATGTTACCCACTTCAAAGGAAGATTTGGAAACTCTCAAAGCGGATCTCTGGAGTGCTGTTGTAAAAAACAGCCAACACCAGGATGCTTGGACATGGGGTACGAGTCCTTCTTTCACATTCTCTCTATTTCCGTGAAATAAAATTGTTTTTTCCGGAATTAGAATTTTTTTCAGCGGAAATTGAATAATTACGTTTACGATTAAAATAGCATTAAAAGTCGGTTCTCTATATTCACGCGATCTTTCATTTATTGAACGTTCTCTCTTAGTGATTATCAGAAGATTATTAATTTTACGCACAAAACTAACAAATAACTACTTACTTACCAGGCGGTATGCTGATAGTTTCCGTATCGGTGGCAGGGCTGGTTACCCTAGCTGCTATGACGCAGCCCGCTTTGGCACCTGAAGCGAAACACTCTCTTTTGCAATATGTCACAGGGAAATATTTATTGCCGAGTAACTGCCGCGTTCATTTCGAATGGGAAGAACCTCAGTTGGTCGGCGAAACGATGACTTTTACGGTCAAAGTGAGTAAAGCAATTGCGCCGTCAGAATCTTCTCTCGCAAATATTTATTAAGGGGTACCTTATGAAGTTTGTTTTCTATTCCTGCACTAAGATTGCACTAGAACTGAACTGAATTAGTGCAATTCAGAACTGACAGTAAGCGTGCAGACAAAGAATAGAAAATGTTCTAGTACGATAAAAATTCTCATATTGTTTACATGAAAGTATTAGATTCGTGTGATGAAGATAAAAGTATTAACTGTAACCTTTTATGTGCCTTTTACAACCATTTACTGATTATCAAGGGAGGAAAGGACAGTTTTCGTCCATTTTTACAAGTGTTTTAAAGCGATCTCGTCATTTAGATTTATCTAAATAGTCTTTATTTACAAATGGCACGCAGTGTAAATTAACGTATCATTTCTCGCCTATGACGTCACGATTCCAACATGGCCGCGGTGACTACTCAGGACGAATCAGGAGTCTTTAACTAGTGTACACTAGTTTGCACTGATTGCACTGGTTCCAGACCTAGTGCAGCCAGTTCAATGAACTCGTGCTGAAGAAACTGAATTCTGTTGTACTGGAATAAAAAACAGCGTCGCTGACACCATTTTGGGAACAGAAAACGCTTTATGTAAATGCAGAGTCTACAATAAAAGTTAGCGGTCGTAGGGTCTTAAGTCGTAGAAAATTGACCAATCACAGTTGATTATTCTTCTTATATTCGATTGTAATTGGTCAATTTTCTACAACTTAAGACCCTACGACTGCTACGACTTCTATTGTAGATCCCGCATTTAAGCCTGTTCTTTTTGCCTGAACTGGTGCAAAAATTCAGCCAAAAAGGACAGACCTAAATCTATGGTGAGCACCATTCCAGTGCACCACTTACACGTAACTGATGTAAGGCTATACTGGGCTAAACTCAGTACAATAGTGCATCCAAAGAGAAAACGCCATAAGTTGCTTTTCTGTAATCAAAAATTGATAGCGTACTCTGCTCAAAATCTGTATCCGCAAAGCTTTGCTATCTAGGTATTTATGTATATAATATACATTTTATTTGAAAGATTTCATTATCAATAAAGCTAAACATATGTGATAAAAGTCATGATAGTTCATTTTTAGCTCATCAATTAGATATAAGAATATTTGTTTGTAGTTTTATCAGCGCAATGGCCAGCCGTACCCAATATGTGACAAGGATAATTTGATTGTGGAGGTAACAGAAGATACACGCAGAGTAGCTACACTAATAGAACTGGGAGGCACCGACCCCTTAGCTGCAAATACTGCAGTAGTAAAGTTTACTGTCCGCCATGCGGGACAATATCGAATAGCTGTACTTATCGGATCGTGTCATGTTCATGGCAGCCCGTTTCTTAAGAATTTTCTTCCTGGTACGTATATTTGATACTAATGCGTCATAAAGTAATACTCAAAATGCAACAAGAATATTGTATGAATCACCAGTCTCTGATCAATGATAAAGATATATACTGTTAAATTTTAAAGTTAAACTTTAAAAATGAAAACAGTAAAATTTTTCAAGTGACCTTTTCACTAATTTATAATTTATAATTTATTTGAATGACTGATATTATACATATAGGGTGTTTACATATCTCTACAGGACTTTTTTTCTTAATTTACCGATCCCCTACACGCTCCCGAAATTTTGACATTTAAATTTCCAAACACCCTGTATGCAAAGATATTTATTGTTCAAAATGTAATATTTCTAACAAATAATTATCTCCTTCAGTATTTTGGTTAAACAAAAATTGATTCATAATTAATTCATAATTATGGAAAAATTAATGCTAATTAGCTAAATCTGGAATGCACTGTATAATTCTTGTTAGTTACGATCGTGTCGTAAAGTATATCGTCTATACTAGGTCCACCAGATCCAAATAAGACAGTCTTTGTACGACAAAGTTCTACGGTCGTTTGTACAGCTGGAATAGCCCATTCGATGACAATAGAGCCACGTGATGAATATGACAATCTGTGCATATTTGGGCCTGGAGATCAGCCTACAGAAGGTTATAATGTCAATATTACTCAGGTAAGTCAGAAATTTTAGCAAAAATAAAAATCTTGATATTTATTACTTAAATCGATTGTCCAAATTTATCTTCTTTAGATCGGTAGTACAGTAGATAAAGGATCGATGATAGACTATAGTATTCAACTCGACTACGATTCTTCAAATCAAAGAATTCGTTTAAAAGTGAGCTTTCCAAAAGGCGGATGTTATCATGCAACGGTTAGCTTGGCAGGACTGCAGCTGCATAATGGAGATTTTGATATCATCGTTCTCGAAAGTATGTAAAATATTTTATTTTCAAACTTAAATATCTTCCTATTTCGCTTTTACATAATGAGGCTCGTGTATTGCCCTTTTCTTCTCATTACTAGATTCCGTCGCGAGAATGGTGCATAATAACGTAGCGTCTAAGGATCCAGATATCTGTTATGTTGCGAAGTTATTAGGCATGCAAGGAGAAAGATTTTCTAAACCAAAGAAAGTCTTCTGCTTTATCTCGCCTAAGCAACTTACAATTAAAGAATATTTATTAAAATTTATTCCCAAAAGACTTGTAACATTTAGACTGTGTCCTTCGACAAAGGTATGGTATAATCATCAAAAATAATTTTACACGCGCATCAATTTACCGATTTTAATTTATTAGAGCTGTGATTTCTTAGTTTTGGATTGTAAATTGTAGTTCCATTTTGAAAGTTCGACCAATCAGCACGAGGGATATCATCCTTTCTCGATAGACGATGGATGTCAACCTCCCGTTGAACTAATATCTCTGTATCGTGATATAATAGCCGCCACTTTCACTTTATTTCTCTTGAAAAACATTGGCGGTAGTGAAACATTCGCAGACAAACAAGACTTTTTCTATCACGAAGTCCGCAAGCATCATCAAAAGCATTATCACGAGAAACTCTCCATGAAAGTGCAGCGTGATAAGCTTTTAGAATCGGTAAATGTATAAGTAAATTCATGATACACCACGTAAAGATGTATATTAATAATGTGTTTCTTTTTTTGTTAAAAGTCTATGAAAGCTACTAAAGGATTTTCCGTGAGTGATTGGTGCCGAAATTTTGAGATCATTTTTCAAGGCGAACAAGGTACGTTTCGTTTACGTTTAAGAAACTTTTATGAAAATTAGTTTTAAGACAATTACAAGAGTCATTGTCTCATGTTAGGCGTTGATTGGGGTGGCGTGCGACGCGAATGGTTCGAATTGATATGCGCTGCGTTATTTGATCCGGGAAATGGTTTGTTCGCATCGTTTGGGGAGTCGCAACAGGCATTAGTGCATCCAAATCCCAAACGACCATCGCATCTTAAATTGAAGCACTACGAGTTTGCCGGACGTATCGTAGGAAAGTGTCTTTACGAGTCGGCGCTCGGCGGCTCCTATCGTCAGTTAGTACGCGCACGATTCACCAGATCATTCCTTGCACAGATTATAGGACTTAGAGTGCATTATAAGGTAACTCATCGAATTTCTTTTTTATTCCTAGCAAAAAATTAATAACAGATAAAGTATAACGGATAGTTTTATTTTTTATGGACTAGTATTTTGAACAAGATGATCCTGATTTATACTTGAGTAAGGTAAAGTATATTCTTGAGAATGACGTTGAAGAAATGGAATTGTACTTCGTTGAAGAGGAATATGATAAAGATGGACAATTGTTGAAGGTACATGTTATTACTTCTTGATGTTAATCTGAATATATTTGTTTTGATCGAAATAAAATCGTTATACGAAATTCTTTATGTATTTTCTATGCATTAAGTTTAGAGATAGAATTTTATTTTAATGCATAACCACAGCTATAATTAACACATTTTATGTAGGTGGCAGAATTAATTCCTGGTGGTAGCAAAGTTCGAGTGACTAACGATACGAAACTTCGTTATCTGGATGCACTCGCTCAGCATAGACTTGCTAGTTCCATCCGCAACGAAGTCGATCATTTTCTGCGCGGTCTTAACGAACTCATTCCCGATAACCTCTTAGGCATATTTGATGAAAATGAATTAGAGGTGAGTAAAATTAAAATATATAAAAATAAGTCTGTCACACACGCACAGAAGAGGGTGCTCTGCGACTTTATCTCTTTCGCAGTTGCTGTTATGCGGGACTGGCGAGTACAGCGTGGCAGATTTACGCGCGCATCACATAGCGAACGGAAGTTCTCCGGAATTTCTCCGAGTACTCGACTGGTTCTGGACGGCGGTGAGCAATTTTACGCAGGAGGAGATGGCACGATTGCTCCAATTCACTACGGGTTGCTCGCAATTACCGCCTGGTGGATTTCAACAATTGAGCCCTCGTTTTCAGATTACAGCTGCACCAACGTTCGCTAATTTGCCTACAGCACATACTTGGTACGTTCTCACCGAGAAATATCATTAGAATATTCATGTTTTTTCTTTGATTTGTTATTAATCATTGATTGATTGTTAATATTGCTTTTCAGTTTTAACCAACTCTGCTTACCAGATTACGAGTGCTACGATCACTTCGAACGAGCGTTGCTGTTGGCAATCAGTGAGGGCACCGAAGGTTTCGGCATGATCTAATCGGGAAAGCTCGGAGTAAGATTCATCAAACTTCTAGTGACTAGAACTGTTGATTAAATTAATTTATGTATCCATTTTTTCCTCAATAGTTGAACCCGTCCTTGATGGGTAAAAAAAAAATAATATTTTCGATAATAGATACTATTACAAGTCCTACAGTTTATCCTTAGGAACTTCTTACTCAGCAAGATCAGAATGAGGATAACTATCGCACGTTTTTATATGTAGATATTTAGAACTTTTGGAATTACCTTTTTTCTGTTTACGCCGAAGACTATCAGGAACAATCTAAACTTCCGACGATGTAGACGATGCAATTTCTACTGAGACGCGGCAACGTTTTTATAAAACGAAAAATATTCAGCAAGAGCAATGTTACCTCAACATCAGAATTGCTCAATATTATTGTATCGAAATTTAGCGTAGCCGAACTTACGATGGATTTTACGTGAACATAAAGAGAATTAAATTAATGCGTTTTTCAAACGACAATGTAATTGAACGTCGATGTATAAGGATATACGATGCAACAAATCAAAATACGTATAAACAATGTTCCTTTTGTAGTAACTATTATACGTACAGAGATTTGTATATTTGATGAAGGGATCACTGTAACAGCACTGAACGTTCCGTTATTCAGTATTAATTGAAATATATTCTGTCGCATAATGCAGGGGACATATGATTTTAAAAGAACTTATAAAAAATGATGAATAATGAGGCTAATGTATTAAAGCTTTGCGCTAGTTTAGTTTCTTCGTTTTCTCTCGCAATAACAGCACGGCGATAATACGGTATTTTCAACGTCGACGATGGCGCATGTAATATAAGCTGTAGTATGTACAAAATATGACTGTATTCTGAGACACTACGTATTACATCTATTTCTTATCGACGCAAAATGCTTGCAATATAATAAGCATGATAACCTAGTCATAAAGAAGTAACTACGATCGTATTGTGCGTATCGCATTGGTATACGTATTTTATTTAAGATGCAGTGACATGTACTTATATTAAGTAGAGAAGGAATAGTATGAAACATAGTAATCGCCATAGCAGATTATTCGTTGCGAAATAATGAACGAATGGCCAACGATTGTAAACCGTACTACGCGCCTCGCAATAGCAAGAAACTTAACAGTCTCGCCAGATTATTTACCATCAAATAATACTGACGATAATTTATTTTTATCAGTTTATCATTACATATAAGAAAATAAAAAGTATAGATTAAAAAGGCATACGATATCTACATTTTATTCAATAAATTCCATTAAAGTCTCGCCTATTACATATAGCTCCTTGCTTTCGCAATTTATGAAAAATAAAAATTTATCCTATAAATTGAAATACCATATGATGCTTATTCTGCTTACGGTATATGTAGTGTTAAACATAGAATATATAAAGCTCTATTCCTCAAAAATTAAATATTGACTAAAAAAAATTATGTATTTTAAATGTAGTACGAAATGCTGATGTTTATCTCTCTATCTATTCTGCTCTCTCTGTTCTACGAGCGTTTTTATCCTTGCCAGTCAATCATAAAGTACTCTCCTCTTTCAACTTAAGTCATTTGCACCAAACGGACAGTACTTCAATTCGGTTTCACCCGATTAAAACCACAGTTTATGTCCCGGAAAATTGTGATTACTCTTAAGTTCCTTAATCTGCGAGAGATATTGATATAATAATATTATTCTATTTTCCTAATCAAATCTTTGTACCGAGGATAAGTGAAATACTTATTAAACCTCAGTGAAATTTTGTGTTAAACTTTGTTTTAGTCAATTAAATGTTACAACTAATTTAGTCTAAGGCCAATATTACATTTGATATTTCATGTGTCGTACGATAAACTTTCTAAGACAGCTGACTTATAAGCTGTAAGACAAAAAGATCCGAAAACTTCTCCATCCTACAGTCAATTAATCAACAGGCTTGAAAAATTTGTCGTACGACGCATGAAATATCGGCCTAAAATACTCAGCATGTATGTTCAAAATTAGAATATAAAGATGGTACATAAAAATAAGACGTAAGACTTATGCGGGGTCTACAATAGAAGTCGTAGCGGTCGTAAGGTCTTAAGTCGTAGAAAATTGACTAATCACAGTCGAATATGAGAAGAATAATCAACTGTGATTGGTCAATTTTCTATGACTTAAGATTTTACGACCACTACGACTTCTATTGTAGACCCCGCATTAAGCAGTAAAGAAATCGACATGTTAAGCTGGTTCTACATTAGTCGCATCGCAGCGTCGCAAGCGTTGCGGTCCAATCAACGTCAAGCTAGCTCGACTCTGATTGGACTGCAACGCTGCGACACGCTTGCGACGCTGCGATGGGATTAATGTAGAACCAGCTTTAGATTCGCTATTACTCACGTTATGATCTTAAGGCCCATCTACAATACACGTAGTAAGCTTGGTTTAAGAAGTAAGAGTAAGAAATTGACCAATCACAGTCGATTGTGAAAAGAATAATCGATTGTGATTGGTCAATTTCTTACTCTTACTTCTTAAACCAAGCTTACTACTGTATTGTAGACGGGCCTTTACAGTCTGTACTGTGATTGATCGATTTGCTTACTGCTTAAGTCTTACGTTTTAAATTTTCTATGTCCCATGGCCTTCATAAAGCTGGTTCTACATTGATCGCATCCCAGTGTCGTAAGCAGTTTAATCAGAATTGATCAGAATCGAGCTAGCTTGACGTTGATTGGACCGCAACGCTTGCGACGTTACGATGCGACTAATGTAGAACTAGCTTAAGATGTCTTATCGACATAAAGCTGGTTCTACGTTAGTCGCGTCGCAGCGTCGCAAGCGTTGCGGTCCAATCAACGTCAAGCTAGCTCGATTCTGATTGGACCGCAACGCTTGCGATACGTTTGCGATGCTGCGATGCGATCAATGTAGAACCAGCTTAAGGTAATAACGAGAAACAAGGACAAAGTTTTGCGTTCTCTCAATTGTTGCAAATTCGAAATTATAAGCTATGATATAAAATACCTACCTACGGCAGCAATGGCAGAGTGGCACTGGATAAAAACGTGAAAGTCCGTAGAATAGATACGCGCATGATGCTTCCAGCGATCTGCAGTATCCGACTCCAGCCACCCTCTTGAGATTGTCGCAGCAATCGCTCTCTCAGCTCGTTTAATTCCATCCTAATGGATTGCAATAATACAAAAGTATCTCGTGATGCTTGTTTAGCCTCAGGAACAAGGTAATTTCTTTTCTTCTTTTTTTTCTTTTAAATATCTTACATTTGTGAATGATATTCCATTTCAACGCGGCGGAGCTCAACTTCTCGATCAGCTAACTGACTCTCCAGAGAAATCGTGCGTAAACTCAGAGTCTTCGCATTACCCTCGCTAGCTTTCAAATATTTTTCTAATCTCTGTCTCTCGGCCATCGCGGTTTGCAGCTCCCTAATTATACAAACGTTATTTCTAAAATAAATGATACTCCTAAGCTCCTGTACTTAAGATGTTTCAAACTTGGGATGCACCGAATATCCGAAAAGATATCCGGTATCCGGTATTATCCAGCACCTTTTTACTATCCGATCGGATAGTCGGATATCATTAGTATCCGGGAATATATCCAGTTGAAATTTTATATTTTATATTCTTTTCAGCTGAACTTCGTACACAGTTCGCCTTTCCTCTTTTTCTTTTCACGTTGAAGAGATAAAAAAAAGATAAATTGTGCAAGAAGTTCAACTAAGGCTGTATTCGGGGAGCGATATCAATTAGCGCTATCATGTCATTCTATTTTTATCATTCATTAGACACAAAACAGGATAGGAAAGCGTGTTCCGAATTACACATATGAAGCTCTTGATGCATCATTTGTCCCTGTTATTCATTAAATACTAAAGAAAAAAATAAAATAATACATCATGCCACCGATGAAATACAATTAAAGACCGTCAACCCTGGGCAAATTTTCGTTCATATAAAAAGGGACCCGAAGGCCTGGAGGTAATTGAAAAATGCTGACAATTGATATAAATTTGTGATTATTAACATAAATATTTGGATAATATATCATTATTGATTTTTTATTATATAAATGTTCTAATATATCATTGATGATTTTTTATTATATAAATATTCTCTAAATAAATATGCATATTGATAATGCTATAATATCTTATATATTATTGCAAAATTACAATTTTTTTTCTCTACAGTTATTATCTCTATTGGTAATCAAACTCGGACGATAACATTAAAATCATAATTATTATCATTATTTTTCCCTTACAGTCCTTTTCCTTTTTGCTCCATTTTTTTCTTTTTTTACTCAGCTTTTTTTTTAGACATTGTCCCGGAATCCGATCCGGAAAATATCGGATATCCGACTCGAAAAATTGCCTTCCCGAATATCCGACTGGATAGCGGATATCTGATGTTACATTCATTTCCGATATCTGATATCCGATAATTATGATCCGGTGCATCCCTATTTCAAACTTGATCTGAAGATCCAAATATACCTAGAAGTACACTGAAGTTGTTCCTGTGCAGACTCAGCGAGAGACACCTGTGCCACTAATTGCAACTGTAACTCTTCGATGATAGATTCCGTTTTTTCCACTCTGGCATCACGTTCTGTCGCCAGTGCCTCGCTGGCTGATACCTAAACAAATATACTTATCATAATAACTTTATATAGCATATATCTTTATCATAATCTACATTTATATTTATAACATAAGAATATAACTCTTACAGAATATACTACATAAATAAGAATATAAATATCTCAGTAAAAATTTTTTTATACATAATACTCATAACACTCTGTATAAAATTATGAAAAAATATATTATTAATATATAATTATATACCATTGTATAATTATATATTATTTTATATAATACTGTCTAACTCATATAATTATACATAAATTCCTCATAATATGTATTTATATAAATATAAATATATATATAACGATATATTTTCATAAATATTTTCATACACTCACCCGCAAAAAAAAAACCACTAAGTCTTAGCACAAATTTTTAATATGTTCGAGTAGCGATATCTAAGATTTCTCAGCCAGATCTTTTATAGAACACTGCTTTATAATACATATATAAACATCTTTCATTTTATCGTGGAATTTACAATACGAATACATAATTCATGAATAACTATGTATTTATGTTAATTGTAAATTTCTATGATAGCCCACGATTTCATGTAGATAAAAGTTAATAGGGCAAATGGTATTGATCCTTTTTCCTAGTACGGAAGGAGTATTACATGATATTGAGTCATCCAACGTGAAAGGGGTGACTCATTCGTAAGCTATACATTTCTTTCGTCGCGTGCATTGACCTGACGCTGCTTCACAAGTAGATTCTGAGATCTTTGAAAAATGGTAAAGGATACTTGCAGTAGCCTTAAATTAATGAATTGGCAGTATGTATTAATAATTCATATCAATCAAAATCTTCTTACTCTTTTAAATAATTCTAAATATTTTTTTTCTATTTAAAAAACGTAACCTCATTTATAAGGATTTAATCTTCGACAGAAAAATCCATTAATTAAATCATTACTATTAAGAATTCGCGGTATATTGATTCAACAATATCCCGCTATCGTTTCCAATAAATCGCGAGCGAGCGAGTAGTACACATCTCCGCTGATAGAAGGGCGGTGGCGGAGAACATTTAGTCATTAACAAAAATCTGGGAGAGAATATAAGGATCGTAACATTTCGCCTGTAAAAGAAATCTCATGGCACATACAAAAACATAAGCAGTAAGGAAATCGTAACATTGGATTCACTATTGGCCTAATGCCCGTGTCACACTACGCATTGGAGATTGAGGATTGCGAGAATTAAGGATTAGAATTCGACCAATCAGGTAATTTTAAGTTTAATCCGTTTCGTTCTAATTGGCTGAATTCTAATCCTCAATTCGCAATCCTCAGTCTCCAATGCGTAGTGTGACACGGATATTACGATCTCTATTGTGATTGACTAATTTGCTTACTGCTCTTATTTTCTATGTATCGTCGGATTAAAACTTAAACTCCAAAATTGGACTCCAAGGTGAAAGTGTGAAGTGTTTTTCAAAGCAAAATTTTGTTTAAAAATTGATTCAGAGACGACCGGACACCGGACCTGGAATTTCTGGAAAAAATGTTAAAACATTTCATATGACATTGCAGAATACTTTCAGAACTGTTGCACATGAGATGTGA